GGGAATACCATAAAAAGTGATCATTGACAGTTTGTTAAGAATAAAGGCATTAATAAGCATGTAGGACTGAGGTAAATAGCTAGGACATATATATATATATATATATAAATGCAAAACGAGCTATCTGACAAAAATACGAACAGGAGAATTGGATATATGTGGTAAACAAGCCAGCATAGGTGCAAATCAAATATATTGCATAAATGAATTATGTTCATTCAATTTCATAAAAAGTTATGATATTACATAAAGTTCAAATACAGAGCAAATAAAATTTACAAGACTCATAGTTAAAAAGCTTACCTTAATTGATGCATCTTCACTTGCGGAGACCATGATGTTGAAAAATGGATGAAAGCGAACACGAGTGACAGGTGATCGATGACCCGTAAGGGTAAATTTAGCCGGCGGACGCGGAATAGCTTCTGCCGCACTGAAGCGGCCTCCTAAAGGACGACACCCTGGTATGGCACTTCCAGGCACAACTTGGTTTCCTAAACCCATACTTGCAGATAAGGAGGCACTTTCACGCTCGGCTTCGACAAGTTTTCCTTCCAAATCCATCACCTGAGAAAGTTCATGTAAATATATAAGCCAAGAATTATAGCTAAACTCAAAAATTAAAACAGTAAATATCCCAAAATATGTTCTATATGATACAATATTATCAATAAAACTAAAAGAAATGTGCATCCATGGCTATTTACCCAGTTTTAATGCAAGATGATATAGCAAAGAGAAGACATTAAAAAACGCACCTTTTTTTGAAGCCGGATAACGGATGTCCATTTTTTTTCCAACAGACCAGAAAACTTTTTATCAGCATCACCCTCCTAAAGTTCATTATGAAACAGATAACTAACAATATCTGCCTCTTTTCGAAAGCAATCCAGAGCCTGATGGTAGCCATTCGAGTTTAGATAGTCAGCTATTGCCCTGTTTCTGAAGAACGGTTAAGGAGAAAACAAGACGTACAACTCGTCTTTTTGTCGTTGACTCAATACCATTTGATACCTTTAAGAAACAGCTTTCTGATATATATATATTATACGGATGGTTTGAAAGCGAGACGAAGAACAGGAAAAACATACAGATATTAAAATAAATAAAAATTTAAAGGTGAAAATAAATTTAAATAGATAAATGGAAAGGGCAAACACCTTACGAGGAGGACGATAAAGAATGTCAAAGAACAGGGCCGGCAATACAAGGTTAGAAGGCGCGGCTGAGAATTGAGGGTGTGTTCAAACTATCCACTGGAGTATTAGGGAAAACACTACA